GGAGCGAGCGGGCTTGTAGAGCGAGGGAACGCCAAAAAGCTTCCCAGTTTTACGAAATATATAAAAGCACGCTTCAAAGGTTTCTTCTTAAATCCTTCCTTTTACTGCTTTCTGTGTGCATATTTAAACTGTCATCATGTAGATAGTTAATTTATAATTGCTTAGAATAAATAGGGGTAATTTAGTAATTTTACGCTATTATTTTAGAAATAATCTGTCATAGGGAACCCGAAAGGGGCGCTGTGGGGTGCTAACACCTTCCCCACGCGTAACCGACTCCCTTACCCGACTCTGGTTGTAATGGCCGAAGTCGATTTTTGAATCGATTGCCTTATCCCTTTTTCCAATGTTTTGAGTAAAACATTGGTGGCGACTCCAAAGAACCCTCCTTTTGCGAAAACCACTAATCCATGGAGGGTCCCGCTTGGGATTAATATGGATTGGTGAACCATTTTAATAAAATTGCTCGTTTGACGAGGTCTCAGTTTGAGAATAAGTCATTCTAGCAGTCCATACTTTAAACAAATAAACGAGTCCAACCATCATTCGCGAATGCCGAAAGCCCGTTTCGGGCCGGTGGCGACAATGATGACCCATTTAAGCACAACTTAAGAGACAAGTAAGAAGACTCAAAGATATGACCGAATTTATAAGAGACTAAGATGTTACCCTTGAAGAACCATTGGCTCTAGATACCACATGATGGCATCCTTGCTTGCATTGATGGAGAGTTGTGATCAATGAGATGACACCTTGACTCCTTGGATCAAATCCCTTAAGGGTGACATCTAATTTGGAGAAGGGAGATGAAGGAATGGACGGAAATGAAGGTTGTAGGGAGGGTGTTTGATGAAATGCTTGAGAATGAACTCTAGGTTTGGCTAACTCCATGGGTGATGAAGGCCATTTCTAGGGTTTACTCTCAAGGCAGGAGATAGGAATGGTGGTGGCCGAATTAGCCAAGGGAGACTAAGGAATGATATAAAGGCACAAAGGCTCTGTCTATATTCAACATCTAACGTATTTACAATGACTGATGCCTAGAGTATTTACAAGTGTGGGGTGACCTCAAAACCCTAGGGAAGCGTGACAGCTAGGTCATCATTGGGTGATCATTCCTTCCCTAAATGGGAAGGAAATGCACACCAAATGACACTCAAATGAACCCTAAAAAGGCGCCGCCCATTTACACTTAAAATGGGAGTTTTTTGGGTTAAGATAGGCTACATCTAGGTGCATGATGGGAGAATGCAACCTAGGTTCCCTTCCACTTGGGCCAATGCTCTTGATGGAGAAGATAGGAGAAGTGATGGATGAACTCCTCCTTGACTTCACCTATCTTCTCCATCAATTTTGGTATCTAGAGCATGGTGCTTCATTGGAGATAAGTGTTCTTGAATTTTGACCGTTTGTTTTGTGTTCTTGTGTTCTTGTTGTCACAATTTGAGTTTCTCCTTGGATCTATAATTTTGAAATTAAATTTGTTCCGTAGATCCAATTGATTGATTGCATTTTGATTTTCAATCCGCAATCAATGAAGTTAAGATTTAACTTGTGCTATTATGTTGTTTTGTTTTGAGTCTTCTCCATTCCTTAACATGTGTCCATGATTGGACTTCATTAACATTGCATTAGTTTTATTTTTGAATCCTTTGTTTTGTCTTAGAATTTCAAGTGTAGTTCTTTGTATGTTGATAATTCCTATAATAGCTTGTTTAGCCTAATTTTTTTGTGTTGTGTTGTGTCTACTATTGGTCACGGTTTTTGCTTATATTCTTTGTGCCTACCTATATGTGCTTTTGTTTTACATATTTGAGTTCATGTTCACTAGTAGATCATTGGTGAACTCTTAGTGTTAGGTTTCCTTTGTGTACTTAAGTTTTCAAATTACTTTCCAAATCACTCTTGAATCTACCTTTTGTAACTTGAAAATTTTTAAGTGAATCATCTTACTTCTAGTGCATTAATTGTTTTGGAATCAAATTTTAAAAAGTTTGCTGGCTGGAAAACAGAGAAAATACAGAGCATTATCTTTCAAAATAGTTAAAAAAACGAGAACAAAAGAATCCAACCAAAAGCTTAAAACTAGTGCACTAGTTCATCAATTTTCACTTGAAACTTTTCATTCTAGTAGATCCGGTTTTTATACTTTGGAATTGTGAAAATTTTGAAATCAAAAGGCAAGTATCTTCTCTGGAATATACATTTGAATTTAGAAAAAGAAAGAACTAAAAAAAAATATAAAGCAAATATAGTAAGCAAAAGCCGAGAAAAATAATTAAGAAAATACACTTGAATTCCACAAAATTTTTGGACTACTAGTTTGTTTGTACTTGTTCAATTTCTTTCAAATCTTTTTAGTTTTGTTAATCTACTATAGTGCCTATCTAGAAACCTTCCTTATTGTGTGCTAGCTTTCTTTGGAGTCTTATTTTTCAGCTTTCATTCAGATGTGAATTGCTTGAGAGGTATGTGAAACATTATTTTGTTAGACTTATTTGTTGTGTGTATGTGATATGGAATTGAGTTATAAGATGAGATGTTGTGATGAATGTGAATATGATTATGATTGTGGTTCCTCACACTAATGACCAGGGATGGCACGACCCTTGGTTTACAGGATAACCGATCTTAAAAGTGATACGGTGGCAATTTTGTAAATAATATGAATACTTTTAAAATCGGTTATTTTATGACCGATTTTAAAAAGTATGTCTGGTACAACTTTTAAGATCGGTTCAAATATAACCGATTTTAAAAGTATTCATATTATTTACAAAATTGCCACCGTATCACTTTTAAGATCGGTTCAAATATAACCGATTTTAAAAGTATTCATATTATTTACAAAATTGCCACCGTATCACTTTTAAGATCGGTTATATAGGAACCGATTTCGTATGTAACATACAAAATCGGTTCTTAGATAACCGATTATCCTTTTTCGTTTCTACAATTTCGGCCTCCACTCTTGGTTCGTTCGTTCATGTTCGTTTGTTCGTGCTTAGGGTTCAGGCTTCTTGCTTCATTCGTTCCTACTGGTCTTCTTCGTTCCTTCTTCGTGCTTAGGGTTTCTACTGGTCTTCTTCGTTCAGGTTAGCAAAGTTCTGGGAGGTATGCGATGAGCACGGCATCGACCATACCACGCAAATACGAACCCCTCTCCACCGGAAGATACCACGCGTACTGCGTGTATGCCGTGTGCTCCGAGAAGAACACCGGCACGCACCCCGCCACCACCGAGTCAAACGTTGACCTCCGTGTGAACGCCCGGCACGCCCCCCGCCACCACCGAGTCAAACGTTGACCTCCGTGTGAACGAGTCCCCCGCCGCCTGAAGGCAGAACTTGGACGAACTCATCACCTCCAAAACCTTCATGGGGTCGTGGCACCTGCTGTCGCCGCCTCGCGCACCGCACCAAAACGCAGCGTTTGGAGTCGCCGCACTGCCTCACGATGTCATCGCGGACCTTGGCCTTCTCCAAGCCCTTCCGCGTTCCGCCCACGAAGGAGAAGAGGTGGGGCCGCGCGCGTTGCCGCATGCTGTTCTGCCACGTCAGCATCTCCGCTAGGGTTTGAGGGTGGAAGTAGGAGGGGTAGGGAATGCCGAATTGGTTCGCCCCTGCACCGACATGTTTCGGACAGGTGGCAGCTTCAGGAAGATGTTCGCTCCGAAGTCTGCTCCATATGCTATTGTTGTTGTTGATGTAGGGTTTCAGGTGTGTCATTCGCTTGGGGGAGGGACTAGCTCCGGCATGGGGACGCTGCTGATCTCCAAGGCTCTCTATGACATATGCTTCAGGACTCTCAAGCTCGCTACGCCCACGTGTGAGTTGATTTCTGGTTTTGTTTTTGGTTTTGTTGCTTGCTGTGTTTGTTGAGTAATGATTGCTGGTAGTATCTGGTTTTGGGTTGAATTTTGGAAGTTGGGGTTGGGTGTCGTTGTGAAAAAGATTTTGCCTCAAATGATTTGGAATGTGAAAAAGATTGATTGAAGCTCCAATTAGAAAAGTTGATCAAATAAAGGATAGCCCAATAATTAGAGGTAGAGGATGAGGGGGAAAATCCCTGAGTGAAACCATTAAAATGGATTTAAATGGCCTCTGTTAAGAGTTTGATTTTGATGTCATATAATGGTGTTGCCTGCCTTTTGTAGCTGACCTCATCTAGTTGGAAAATGCTTTAGTTGTTCATGATTTCTTCCTGGTGGGATAAGACTTTGATTGCTGTAGTTTGTGGTTTCTTCATAGAATTATTTTCTTAAGTCTTGCTCCTCCAGGGTTGCTGCTCACTGGACTCCAAATTCAAGGGATAAGATTATACTTCAGTATGATGATGTGATGAAATTGGATTTTGGCACCCATGTAGATGGTAATACACAAGAAAAAAATATATTTGATCATGTATTTCTGTGATAGTGTATGTTCTTATATTACACCGGTGAACCTCTCGTCATGAATTTTGTTTGTAGGATATATAGTTGACTGTGCTTTTACTGTGGCATTCAACCCCATATTTGATCCATTGTAGGATATAAAACATTAGTATTGAGCAAAACAGAGGCATCTCTAACTACCCAATCATTAGTATTGAAAAAGTATGCGTATCTCTGGCAGACACTAATATATCTCCTCCTTAACAACATTTCCAGACCCTTCTTTATTTATATAAAAACCTTATCAACTTTTGAATGCTCAAGCTTTGCATTCTGCATCCTTAAAAGCGGTTGACTTCACTGCTGTCTCAGAATATGAACTTTTTTTTCTGCAACTACCTCTTCTTGCAAGTTTGCTATATAATAATATTTTGGAATTATTATATGTGGCCTAGGTGCATCAGCAATTCACCATGTTCTCTGCCCCAGCCAACAACCAAGATACACAAATTTATTCACTTGACCAACCCCTGAATGTTTCGGTGTGGCCAGTAATTAATGCTAGCTAATTCAACATTTTTCATCAAGAGGGTTCTTCAATGACAAATACAAATGGTGACGCAATGGTAAAGTCACTAATGTGTAACGTCTCATATGAACTCTTGGGTAACATTTTAATTAATTGGGGGACCTACCTAGAGCCGGTAGTAATTATTACTATAGTATCTCCAGGAATATTCAGTTATTATTTTTTAACAAGGAAACTACACATTTTAAGTCTATGTTTGGATTCTTCTTTTGGGTGCTCTCAATTTCATAAAGGAAATCACATTTATATTTACATTTTCAATGAAAACTTGGGTTGAGAAGTAGTAAGGCTAAGATTTCTTTTGCAAATGAAACTAACGTTTGCAAACTTCAAGTTCAACCCACACATGCTCTAATTCAACATATTATAATTCTGTTGTATTTTTTATATTTTATATTACTATTTTTTATTGTTTCCTTTTAAGTTATATTTTTTAATTCTATTCTTTTTTGTTATATTTTAAATTACATTTCTTAATTCTGTTTTTTAGTTTTCTTACTTAGTTAATTATGCTTTTTCATTTTGCTATTCTTGTAATTCTGTTAAACATAATTTCTTTCTGCCATTTGCTGCAATGTCAACCGCCACATTTTCTAGTTGTTGTTCATTATAATCTATAATGTTCTTTAGTCAATCAATTAATACTGTTAAAATGTTAGTTTGCTGTAACTGTCAAGTTAGTTAGAAGCTTGTTGAACAAGCACTATTCTTGTAAAAATAAGTACTGAAGAATTCAGAATGTCAGAATATGAATATCTAATTTTATTTTATAAAAGATGTTCTGTCTTTACAACTCTTTTATATTCTTCATTGGATCTTCAATTGTGGAAAAATTTATGATCTTAAGGAAAAATGATTATTTTTGTTTTTATTTTATTCAGTTCCTATGCATATTCAGTTCCTATTTTATTCAGTTAATTATTTTAAATTTTAATATATATTTGAAATGTGCTTTTATATTCTTCATTGGATCTTTTAAATTTGATTCAGTTCCTATACATACTAGAATAAATTTGCATTCATATTTCAAATTTGAGAGTTAATACATGGTTATTTTAATATCATTTATGCTATTTATTCTCTTTTGAGAAATAGATGAATTATCTGATTTTGTTTGTTCATGCCAAATATATAGAGGGGAGAGAACTGGTGCAGATATTGCTTGCAGCTGGAGCTGATCCATCTGCTCAAGATTCACAGAATGGGAGGACAGCTTTGCATACTAGTGAACAGGCATAAAAATGAGGTGAAGAAGCATTAATGTGGTAGGAGTAGTATTTTCTTTTCTTGGTAGCATGTTGCATCGTATCTTACATGAAGTAAACTGTGTGCTTGTGTGTCCCCCGCACAAGGTCCCAAAAGAATAAAAAGGCAGAACAAAAGTGGGAATATGGAATATCAGCCGCGACAAACAAGCGTAAAACCACGGTATCTTTGGCATCTTAGTACTGTTAAAGTTGAATTTGGATCCAACCCGGTTAGAATTTTGAATATTGAGGTAAATAAAGGTACCTAAAGCACAGTCCACACTGCGTGCTCTCCAATCTCAAAGCCTGAAAGTCTTAATTGGTGTCTTAAAGCAACTATCATATCCTATCCAAGGATTTCCACCTTGTGGAGATTGCTGCCTCTTGCTTCCATCAATTTTCATTTATTAAATATGCATAATCCTAATTTAGTCTTTAATTTTTTTGTAACAAACTATTCACTTTATTAGTGTGAGCAGGTTATATATTTGAACCTTTTGCACTGGATTTTATATATGAACCATTATAAGTGTGAGCAGGTTATGTTTGACTCATAAGAGAACACATTTTAGTTTTGAATTTTGTTTACTTCGTAGAAATAATTGGCAGTTTATATGTTCCCTATCTTTTGGAAGGAAGCTTCACCATTATGTCCTTTTCATTAAGGTTCTAATGTAACTTTGTATCAGGATGATGATGGTGACAATGCTTTCCATATCAAGTGGCTGAACGCTGTTTATAAGATATTATAACTGCAACAATTTTTTCCAACTATGTTACTCATTTAACTATTATAAGATTCATATTAAATTTTTTTTTATTTCAATTGACTTTTAAAATCGGTTGTTACATAACCGATTTTAAAAGTCTTGACTTTTAAGATCGGTTATGATTTTAACCGATCTTAAAAGTCAAGACTTTTAAGATCGGTTATATAACAACCGATTTTAAAAGTCAAGAATTTTAAGATCGGTTATAAATCAACCGATCTTAAAAGTCTACTTTTAAAATCGGTTGATAACCGATCTTAAAAGTATACCTTTTCAAAATCGGCTCTTTTAAGATCGGTTCCATAACCGATTTTAAAAGTCCAAAATAACCGATTTTAAAAGCCTTTTTTCCACTAGTGAAGCTTGGTTTTATACCGTCTACTCATATGTATGTCTTTTTCCAGCTATGTATGTTATAAACAATGAGTGGATCAGATGATCGAGAATGATTTGGCACTTAAAGGAAATGTGGATGGGATTGAGCTTTTAATTTTTCCATCTAACGTTCTTCCTGAGAGATCCCAGCGTAAGAAACTATTTTAGTTGTATATATTTTAGTTTTAACTACATTAACATTTTATGTTTATTTTTGTCTCTCTATTACTATCACTCTTCAGTAAAAACTATTTTAGTTGTATACGTCGTTTAAAAGATAAATAGTTTCCTGTTTTTGTTCTTGGAAAGTAAAAACTTTGAAAACTTATATTAAGTGTCTCTTTAATTTAGGGGTAATCTGGAAAAAAAATAAAAATTTAAGATATTTATTGATCCTAACTAAGTAACTTATTAGTTTTGGAAAAAAGTAAAAATTTAAGACATATTTTAGTCTTCTTGAATGGCATGTTCAAGACAGTATAATTTTATTAAAATAATTTATTCTCTCAATAAATACATTACTTTTTATTATAGTAGTTAAATAATTTATGAAAAGAATTAAGAAAATAATAATTAATATTATATTAAAAAAAGAAAATATCATTCATTTTAAGATAATTTTTAAATGCCAAAACTACATTTTTTCTGCTGCACTTGAGGATCAGGGTGGAGCTTTTGCAAAATATGATGTTACGATCAAATACCAGTCTAGACAGGAATTTGAGGTAATACTTCCATTGGTTATCCTGAAATATTATGCATTGATCTTTTCACATTGTTTTTATTTTCAATTAAAGTTTTTCTTCTCTATCTTTTCCCATTTCACTTTAAAATGCCTTTTTTTATTATGATTTTTTAAATCTTTTCGTGATGTAAAGTACCAACTATTTTTTGTTGAATGGTTTTTTCCATTCCGTCAATTTTTCTCATAGTGAACCCAACATTGCAACTGCATTTGGTCGGCGTAGTCAGGGAAAGGTCATTGCTGAACAGAGGACTGTAAGTTCAAGGTTATTCACAGTTTCCTTGTGTTTTGGATTGATGAGTGTGCATGTTATGTTCAGCACAAATTGATATTTTTAATGAATTTGGCGCATTACTTTAATGCTAATGGTGCTTATAAAGTTCTCTTGAATTTAATTTGCGTAGTCTTTAATTTTGATGGCCGGCATTATGGGTATTTTCTTGAATCTAAATTGACTGTCTGTGTCATTCATTAGAGGGAAGCCTATAATTCTTGTCAATGCGTCAGCTACTTTTGTTTGGTAGCACAATCAATTCTACATCGGTTCTTGCTAGAATTGATGTAGAATATGGCATATTCTACATCGATTCCTGACAAAACTGATGTAGAATATGGCATATTCTACATCGGTTCCTGATAGAACTGATGTAGAATATGACATATTTTACATCAGTTCCTGACAGAACCGATGTAGAATGTGCATATTCTACATTAGTTCTATCAAGAACCGATGTAGAAATGAAACTTTCTACATCGGTTTAAAAACCGATGTAGAATGTCTTACACTTTCTACATCACCTTAATCTACATCGTTTTCAAAATCGATGTAAAATACTTTAAAAAATTGATGTAAAATGTGTCTTTTATATTAGTGATTACATATACGAGACCCATACACCCGCAAACACTAACTTTAGCATCAGAGTCTCTTTTGCAGGTACCACCCCTACTTCGGAACAACCGACGTACCTAGCGAAGGAGGCTCAGCAATCTTACCCAGCAGATCGTCCCCTATAGTAGATCTCCGGTAAGAACATTTGGCGCCCACCGTGGGGCTTATCAAGACACCTCTTATCGGCCACGCTTAGGGTTTTCACCCGAAGCCATAGTAGACGAGAAACAAAAGACCAAGATCACGCAACAAGAATGGAAGGCGAAGCAACATTAAGGCGGTTGATCGAGCAGGTCGATCAAATGCGGCAACAACACGCCATAGACTTGGAGAACATTCGTGCCCGACACGAAGCTGACCTAGTGACGCTGCGCGCTGAGAATGAGCACATCTGTGCCCAGCTTCCTCGGTGCCCCTCTGATCAGCCACCTTAACCAATAAATCAAAACGAGGGAGAGGGGCACTCGATTTCCGAACCATCGACTGCACCCAGGGCAGCGACCTATAGGTCTACTGTACATCGGTCGCACGTACCGACGAATAGGTCAGACCATGAAGTCAGCAGTGCACCTGCCCAAGCCCCACAACATAGGGCAAGCATCCGCCGCCATCCCTTTGTTGACGGCATCATGAAGACGCCCCTTCCTTTTGGATGGAAGCCTCTCAACATCGACCGCTATGATGGCACTACTGACCTCGACGAGCATGTCGATCTGTACGTCACGCAGGTAAACCTATACACTAATGATGATGCTATTCTGGGTAGGGTTTTTTCGATCTCGCTCAAGGGATCGGCACTCGCCTGGTATACTCAATTGTCGGTGGGATCGATCGATAACTTTGACACTTTGGTGAGACGATTCACGGTGCAGTACGCAACGAGTCCACCTCATCACATCACGTCCACCGCCTTGGCCAGTCTCAGACAGGGCGAAGATGAACCATTGAGGGCGTTCATGGAGCGCTTTGCTAGCATCTCGATCAAAATCCGCAACCTAAACCTCGAGCTCGCCCTTCACGCCATGCTCATGGCACTCAAGCTAGGACCTTTTGTTGACAGCCTGTGTTGGCGACCTCTCCCAAACATGGACGAACTCCGTGCCCGAGCTGCAGGGTACATCCAGATGGAAGAGCACACCGCTTTTCGCGACCAAGTTCGTGGAAAATCACAGGCAAAGCCGGACCATGGCCACAAAGATAAGGTGAAAGTCACCAATGATAGCCAATTCAAGAAGACTAGAGCAAGCAAATGGGGGAGGTATGACTTCTACACCCCCTTGAACGCAACCCGAGTACATATCCTTGAGGAAGCCAACAATACCAATCTGATTACCCTACCGCCGCCCGGGTATAGCCCCAACAGTGTGGACAAGTCCAAGCATTGCCGATACCATAGAAACTATGGTCACACAACCGAAGAATGTCGCACACTCAAGGATCGCATTGAGGAACTCATCCAAGGAGGCCACCTCGGACAATACGTCCAACGATAGCAATCTCACAGAGGAAGTTACCATGGGCGAGGACGCGGACGAGGCTGAGGCTTCGATACTCGTACAGATCAACCCTCCAGATCTCAGCAAAACACAAGAGGAACAGTGCAGGCCGAGGTAAGCCATGATACAGGAACGAGTCCCCTGCGTGGGGTCATCAATACAATTGCAGGTGGCTTCACAGGGGGAGGCTCCAGTAGCTCAGCACGCAAAAGACACTTACGGAGCATCAACAATGTTCATACTACCACCTCAGCCTCGCACCACAACACGCCACCCATCACCTTCACGGATGGTGACTACGCTGGCATTTGTCCAAACCAGGACGATCCCATGGTCATCGCGGTGGAAGTAGCTAATTGGGAGGTCCACAAGACGCTGATCAACCAGGGAAGCTCGGCTGATGTTCTATAATGGCCGACATTCCTAAGGTTAGATATCCCTCACTCCCTCATTCAACCTCACATAGAATCCCTAGTCGGTTTTGCAGGAGAGCGAGTCCACACTCGAGGATACATAGACTTGCTGACAACCTTTGGGACCCCTCTTGACTCGAGGAGGATCATGGTGAGATACCTCCTTGTTGAGGCCAACACATCGTACAATATCATCATCGGAAGGCCGATGTTGAACCAACTCGGAGCTGTGGTGTCTACCTCGCACTTGACGATGAAATTTCCAGGAAGCAATGGCAAGATCATCTCAGTCAGGGCAAACCAGAAGACAGCTTGGCAATGCTATGCCAAAAGCCTAAAGGTCTCGCCATCAGAAGAGCGCCATCGAGGTGACCCCCCTATAGTAGCTCACATAGCCCAAGTTGACATCACTGACCTAGACCCAAGGTCGGAATCCCATTATGAACGACCAAGCCCAATCGACGAGCTCGACGATCTTCAAGTTGGTAAACTTCCTGGACAGTGTACAAAGATAAGCCAACAACTAAACCCAAAATTGCGGCAGCGGCTCATAGAAGAGATCTCCAAAAATACCGACCTTTTCGCATGGTCAAGTGCTAACATGCCAGGTATTGATCCTAACCTCATCTGTCATAGGTTAGCTATCCACAAGGAAGTCAAGCCGATCGCTCAAAGAAAAATAAAAGTCAGAGGGGAAAGACGTGATGCCACCATCACAGAGACACAGAAGTTGATGAACGCGGGCTTCATTCGCGAAGTTAGATACACCATGTGACTGGCAAACGTGGTACTAGTCAAAAAGAACTCGGGGAAGTGTGTGTCGACTATACCGACCTCAACAAAGCGTGTCCCAAAGACTCATACCCCCTACCGAGCATCGATAGATTGGTTGATGGCACCTCCGGCCATGCCCTCCTCAGCTTCCTCGACGCGTATTCTGGGTACAATCAGATCATGATGTACCCACCCAACGAGGAGCACACAGCCTTCATCACCGATCATGCCAACTTTTGCTATCGCGTGATGCCTTTCGACCTCAAAAATGCTGGAGCCACTTACAAGCGTTTGATGGATAAAGTCTTCCAAAACCAAATTGGGAGAAATATGGAGGTGTACGTAGACGACATGGTCGTCAAGACATTGTCAGCCGAGGCTCATGCCGCCGACCTGGCCGAGGTGTTCAACCAAATCTGGAAACGCAACATGCGCCTGAACCTAGAGAAGTGTGTTTTCGGTGTCCAAGGAGGAAAATTTCTTGGCTTTATGATCACTAGCAGGGGAATAGAAGCCAACCCGGAGAAATACAAAGCCATTATACAGATGCAAAGTCCCCAAACTGTCAAGGACATCCAACGCTTGGCAGGAAGGTTAGTCTCTCTTTCTCGCTTCATCACTAGGTTGGTAGAGAAAATAGGGCCCATCTTCACCCTATTTCCAAAGCCAAAGAACTTCGAATGGACTGACCAATGTGAAGAAGCTTTCAGTAGCTTCAAAGTTTTCCTCACCATTCCACCAGTCCTTCAGAGGCCGGATCATCACTCCGACCTCCTCCTCTATCTGGTCGTGGCAGAAGGCATAATCAGCGCGGTAATGGTACAAGAGCATCACAAAGTGTAAACGCCCATTTACTTCATCATCCGAGTCCTTCAAGACATAGAGAAGCGATATCAAACAATCGAGAAGCTGGAATTAGCACTCGTCACCGCAGCTCAGTGCCTCCGACCTTACTTCCAAAGTCACCAGGTGGTTATGAAAACTGACTACCCGATTAAGCAGATACTAAGAAAACTAGAACTCTCCGGGCGCATGATAGCATGGTTAGTGGAGCAATATGAGTTCGACATCCAATATGAAAGTCGATGCCCCTTGAAAGCCCAATGCCTCGCAGACTTTGTGGCTGAACTCACCAACCTCAGAAGAAGAGAAACAAGTATGGACTCTATATGTTGATGGATCTTCCAACTCTAAAGGTGGTGGTGCAGGTATTATCTTGGAAGGACCGAATAAAGTCACAATAGAGCAATCTCTCAAATTCGGCTTCAGGGTCAACAACAATCAAGCAGAGTACGAAGCATTACTTGCAGGATTGAGGTTGGCGCGTGACCTCGGAGCACAACGGGTGAGTTGCAACAGCGACTCAAAACTTATGGTAGAACAACTCAGTGGGACATACCAGACCAAGGACACCTTGCTGCAAAGGTACTTTCACGTGGCATCCCAAAGAATCTCATTCTTTGACGAGTTCACCATACACCATGTACCCCGAGAGTAGAATGTTAGAGCTGACCTCCTGTCCAAGCTCGCCAGTACAAAGTGCCCTAGACAACACCGGACCATCATCCAAGAGACTCTGAATTCACCCAATCTAGACGAGAAATTCGTCAACACCAGTGACAGTGAAGACCAAAGATGTATGATAGGTATTTGGAACTACTTAAAGGAGGGAACTCTACCCGAGGATAAAGATGAAGCTTGGAAGATGAGGGTAAGGTCAGCCAAGTTCTTCGTCATTGGAGATGAACTATTCAAACGCGACATCTCCACTCCTCTGTTGAAATTCTTAGCAGGGTCCCAAGCCATCTACGTCATCGAGGACATCCACTGAGGGATATGTGGCATGCACTCTGGGGCACGCTCGATAGCGACTAGGGTACTCCAGGCTGGGTACTATTGGCCCACACTAAAGTCGAATTGTCAAGACTATGTACAAAGGTGCAAGGAATGCTAGTAGTTCGGCAACACAACTCGGGAACCTCCATCTTTCAGAAGTAAGCTTTCTGACCCAGAGTCCTTCTCTCTAAAACTTCTCTCTATGTTTCCATTTTCTCCACCCCAACACCTATTTATAGAGATTCAAGAGTGGCCAGAATGGCCTGTTCTGAATCCAGAACGGCCCGTTCTGTACTCCCTCGTCATGTGCAAAAACCACATGCAGAATGACCCGTTCTAAAATCAGAACGGCCCATTCTGGAACTCATTCAGAACGACCTATTTTGCAACCAGAACGCCCCGTACTCCAACTAGAATGGCTCGTTCTAGGGTTTGGAACGGCCCGTTCTCCCTCTAGAATGGCCCCCTTCAGAATGGTCCGTTCTCAACCACGAATTATAGGTCAATTTAATAGCTTGGAACGGCCCATTCCAGATTGGGAACGACCCGTTCTGGGCTACTAAATCACCTATATTGGGCTTTCAAAAACAACTTGCTACGTTACACTTTCCCCCCGCGAAAGGTCAACTCAAATTCCTCCTTGTGGTAGTTGACTACTTCACCAAGTGGATTAAGGCATGCCCACTTGCGAAGATCACTGCTGAGAATGTGCAGAAGTTCACCTGGAAGAGCATTGTTTGCAGGTTTGGTATCCCACATTCCCTCGTCACTGATAACAGCAGGCAGTTCATCACGCAAAGCTTCGAGAACTTCCTCCAAGAACTCGAAATCAAGCACCTTCCAACCTTGGTGGAACACCCCCAAACCAACAGCCAAGCTGAAGCTGCGAACAAAGTAATACTCCGAGAACTCAAGAAGTGACTAGGGAGCGTCAAAGGACAATGGGTCGACAAGCTCCACAGCATTCTCTAGGCATACTACAAGGTGAAGCACGAAAAGACCTATCAGAAGGGAAACTCGCACCTAACTGGGATGGCCCATTTCGAGTCACAGAAGACTTAGAAAATGGGGCATATCAACTAGAAGAGCTCAGCGGCAAAACCATCCCACGAACTTGGAATGCCACGCATCTCAAGTTTTACTTCAGTTGAAATGTACAAATGGGTTGTGCACTCTTTTCCTGACTTAGTCTTTTGTCCCAAAAAACTAGAAAAATGGTATTGGCTGAGAGGGTTTTTAACGAGGCATACCCAAAACATTAATAAAAATGACTCGTTCCACTCATAACTTCTCAATTTTACACCGTATTGGTATGAATTATATGATGCTAAGCCAAGGTCGAATTCGAACCTTGGCTCAAATTATATCCTGTTAAGCCAAGGTTGAATTCAAACCTTGGCTCAAATTATATTGTCTTAAGCCGAGGTCAAATTCGAACCTTAACACGAATTATATTGTCTTAAGCCGAGTTCGAATTTGAACCTTAGCACGAATTATATTGTTTTAAGCCGAGGTCGAATTCGAACCTTAGCACGAATTATATTGTCCTAAGCCAAGGTCGAGTTCGAACCTTGACACGATTCATCTCGGATCAAAATCACAAGCAAAGGTCATGTTTGAACCTTCACAGGCCAAGTTTGAGCGTCAAAGCACAAAATACAGGCCAAGTTTCGAGCCCCAAAAATGGGTCACAACTAAGCCTAAAAATCGGATTCGGTTTTGAGAATAAAGCCAAAGGTCAAACTTGAACCCCGCGACGGATGCAAATCAAGCAAGAAACATCAAAAAATGCAAAGCAAATATTCCAAAGTGAGAAAAGCAATTATATACATCGCAGGTTCATTAACAAAATATATGAGTTCAGAAAGCAAAATAAACTAAGTTATTACAAACAGCAGCCTAAGCGGTAGTATTCTCGCTCGAGCTATCAAGGTCGTCCTCCTTCACCAGCCGTCCACCTTGCACTTCCTTCTC